TATAAAAATTTTTACCTATGCACATATAATATTTATTAGAAGTACATTGACACATTAAGGTATTAATACAGGATGCCAGGATATTTATGTTTACGGTATATCTATTATGTATATTATTTGTTAGTTTTTATAGAATAATATTCTTTACATTAAATAGTATTTATTTATTTTTTAGTACCTATTCAACGAAACAGATATTGATTATTTAATAAATTACTAATGGTTATTGATATATAAATAAATTATAAATGGCTAACACGAGAAAGGTGTGATTGTGTTATCATGTTTAGTTAGTCGTAGGATATAATTACATTTGTTATTCGTCATTAGTCATTATTAGTCATTACTCATTCGATACGACATAGCGGTAAGTTATAGTAATAGTTGGTTGCTAAATTCTAACCCAACCTATTTATATCGGGTGCATTTTTAAAAGATGTGCATGAAAGTAGTATCTATGTCTTTTAATTTCACTTGAGTTGATCGAGTATCGAGTACAATTGTATATTAGGGCGATTAAATAATATGGATTTGACATATTTAAATATAAAATTGAAATGATTTATGTTTAGGTATTGTAGCTAGGTACGTGTTTATTGTAAGTTATTTTAATCAGTTTCTTATGTTGGTCAACAATGTTATATGTACTTAAAAATACACAGGTAGGTTAAATGAGACGAGTTCTTGTATAGTAAATTTTGACCATGAAAATTTAATTTAAAATATTTAGGTATAAATAATTTGATGATTTGAACTATTTTATTCATGGAAAGTACTTACGTGTATATTATCGTTACTTTTGAATTTCGACTAAAGAAAATATATTTTATATTAAATAAGTGGATTATAACACAATAAAAAAATGTAATTTTAATAACTATGAATTAGGAATCAAAAATTCTACATTTATAGTTTTTGATTAATATATTTATTTTATTTATTTTGCATATGAAAAAAATAAGTTAGATTAGCTCTGATGCAATACGCCTCGGCCATATTGGTATATATATAAAAGTACAAGTTTCTAGCGAGAAAATAATTGCGAGCGGTGTGATTTAGGTTTGCGTAGACAGATACATACACTTTAGGTTATTTAAGCTTACAGTCAATATTTTTTTAAAGTTTTGCTGTCATTAAAACTTTAAAAAATACCTATATGTAGATACAGTTGCAAGTATTTAATAATAACGTAATATTAGAATAGCTCGAAATAATAGATATCTTAATGTATAATATATTAATATAACAAATATAACCTTTGTTTCATTTAGTATAATTCATTAATGATTTTATTATCATTGGTTAACTACATACAAAATGTGCATTAAATGTGCAGACAAACAAAAATACTGTAATTTAGCTATAGTAAACCGTAGCACCTTTATAATCATAGCTGAATTTAAAGATTTTTATACCCGGGAAAGACAATTAAATAAGCCCAATTTTCGGTAATGTATTTTTTCTTATAATTTTGGCGAAAATAAATTATTTACGTTTTTATTTTATTATTTCATAAATAATTATAATCAATTCCTTTCCAATAAAAATATTAAATTCAGATTTATTGTACATCATTAAAATTACTATAATTATATAATCTCTGGTTTAAGATAGAAAATTGTCATACACGAATAACAATTTTTACAACATATCAAAACAGTATATTAATAGTTTATTCATATTCGTAATTATTATATCTTACCTACTATTATAATACTGCATGATAGTGGATAGTGTAATACAAAACATCAGTTGTAAATTGTAATCAGTAATCAACCTTTGTCATCATAAGCGAAGTAATTCAGTAGGTACCTAACATTTTTACGTGACAACTATATTAGATTTTAATAATCAACTATCGACGTATATCAATAGTCAGTAGTCACGTGTAAATATCGGACTTATTCATAATATTAGAATTTAAATAATAATTAACAAACGCAGTTATAGTGCTTACTATTCATAATGTGTGTACTGTGTATTTTGACTTGGTGTTGGGAATGATGGCGTGGGGTGGAAAATTGGATCAAAAAACACTTCAAGTTCTTCTGAACTTTCACTAAGTAATAGATACCAAATAGTGAGTAAATTGTATGTATTCATGTATTTAGAAAATGTTAAAGTAACTTTTTTAACAAAACAGTATATTCTTGATTATAGACACTTATATAAAATGATTGGAAAATTTGGAATTATCTCATACATTTGTTTAAAAAAACATACAGAAGTTAGGAGGACTTACAGCAATAACATGCAAGATAATTTTGCATTTTTATAAATTTTATTTTGTAAAAACTATCAGCTTCAAGCCTATGAACTAGTCTTGTGCATTATCACTACCATTTATAGGGTTCATTTTACAATATTTGGATGTCGACACGACGACACCGTTTTCAAAATATCGTTGATTAGTGTACTATTTATTTTCGTTCCCAGAACCACTCGCAACATTTTTCTTCAATAAAATCAATTTTATATAGTTAGCTTCAGTGTTAGAATGAATTGACCTGTCATAGAATTTCAAGTTTTGAACATTATTTATAATTGTGCGTTGGATTTTAAGGTATTTCAATTTTTAACCGAGATATGATTTTTTTTTTTTTTTAACTATTATACTTAACAGTTCTCTAATTAATATAGAAAATTAAAAAATAAAATTGTGACATTGGCTGTTAACGTTAGGTATCTTACGTTGGTATATTTATTATTCAAACATAAAAATGAAACATGTATACATTTATACTTGTTACAAGTATGGTTTGTTGAATTAAAAAATGTAAACATGAAATTTTCTGTAGGTATTGAATAATAAATTATAATTTATATTATATGGTTACGAATATATTAATTTGATTATGTAATAGAATCATAGATACAAATAACTTAAATTTTATGGTGGAGACATAAGTTATTCTTCTTAATATAGATTAAAAAAAAAAAAAAATGTGCGTTAGCTTCTACATCACGCCATCAATCTCTCTCAATTTAAATTATCGATTTACAATTACAATTTAATATTTACCTAATCCATAAAATTACATAATTTACATTTAAACTTATTTCATATCTACTAAAAAAATGATATAATTGATAAATATACAGGTATCTGTGAAAAAATATTAAATTGATGGTTATATAGCATAGAAATCTATATAATATTCCCTTACTAAAATTTTTTTATGGAAAAAACAACAATTAATAATTATTATTATTTATATTTATATAATTAACCACATATCGGAAATACTTTTTCAATATTAATATTTTAAATATTTATATATATATTTAAAAACTTTTATTGGATTTAGTTTTAAAATTGTATTTTGGCGGCCGTGACGTTACGAAATAACATAAAAATTGTATCTGCGACGTCAGTTCTAAAACTTGAGTAATGTGAACGGGATGGCCGATATGCAATCTGTAATTGAATAAATATCAAATATATTTACCTGGGCACTTTTTCAATAGATATTTTTATTCTTTAACAATTCATTATACGAGAAAATAATTTTTTATAATTTGTCAGCTATGCATGCATTCCTACGTATCTAATTTTGAAGGGCAAAATAGTAAAGATAATATTATGCAGTAAAAATCCGGTCCAACATCTTATATACAACAATTATTGAACAATCAACAAGTTTAAACCGAGGTAATCAATTAGAATGTAAAAGTATGGCGCACTTATTTAATCTGGTAGATATCAAATTAATATTTACGCTATAAACATTTTTATGTTTATATATGTATTAACATTAATCCGCAATTTTCGGTGAACGTGTAGACTATAATTGATGTACAATTATAAAACTACTTATTTACTAATTATTAAAATAATAATCTTTATTTTGCTGTAATACAATCAATATACATGAATGATTTAATAAAAAAGAAATAAAATAAAAAAGATAATGATTGTGGTGGGGATGTCAAGTTTGTAATAAACTTACAATCAAAGTTTTATCAAATATACATCAATGCATTTTAAAAGTACACATTTACAATTATTATAGAATGTATTATTATATTTTGCAATAGGTAAATTTCTTAAAAATTTAGTTTTTTTTTCAATCACTTAAACGACAAGTTTAAATTAAAAAAAACTATGGACATTAATTTGAAGTTATAGTTTCTAAAAGTGAGCAGCAACAGTCAACTGAAATACCACTTTTGATTCCGATTTGCTTTTTAAGTTGTTTTTTTTTTAACAAAATTCTATATTACGCTATCTGTTACAATTAATGAACAATAAGCTCAAGTGATGCAAATAGAGTTGTTGGACGCACAAATTTATGTTACCTATTTTATAATTAACTTGATTTTAACCTTCATGGTGCAAACCTGCAACGAATAATGACTATTAAAATTAATACTTATAAAAATATATGGTTGCGTTACGAACAACGCGGGGTATAGTATTAAATACATTGCATTCGTAGTCTTGTACGTCGATCCGAATATAAATTAGACGATAATATCAAGTATTCAATAACATCAACTAACAACAGTCAAACAGTTCTCGACTCAAGACCGACCACCACGACCTACCGGTTTCGTCTGTTTCGGGTTTCTGGCTTCTTCCGGTCTGTAATTCTGTATTCTGTAATATACGGTTTGGTTTGGACTGTTTGGAGGTGCTACGGCGGTCGTTCGCTCAACACGTGTCACTCGTACGCGAGCGGCGAAATAATATTCCCCGTAGCTAAACGCACTGCGTGTGCGGGAGCGCGTCATGTTTGTCGCACTGGCTGGCTTTTGCCGGGCCCCTTCTCGCCCACACGGTCATCAAAAAGTCGACCACGGTGTCACGGCGACGATGCTAATTTCCAGCGGCAGCGGCGGCGGCGGCGATCCATGTGACGCGGTTCGCTTCGGCGGCGGTGGGCTCGACGGTGCGCGTCCCGAGGTTCGCGGTGTGACGTTCCGCCGCCGCCGTCGCCGCACGCACGCGCGTTCTCGCATACGTGTTTACTACTATTACTATTATTATCGTGTTTTCACGACCACGTCTGAGCAGGAACGCCCGGAGCCGCAGTAGCACACTTTCCGTTTACGCGCTCAGCCGAGAGTAAATCAGTCGCCGCAGTCGGCATTCGGCACTTCGGCATCGGCAGTCTCTTCCTGCACGCACACACGTCTACACATGCGCTCGACTGACGAACGGACACGTTGATTTTAGCATTTTGGCTCTTGTGCAGATCACATATTAATAATAATATTAAAAATAATACATTATTCGACGGTCGACAGTGTTTTTTATTCTTTTTATTTCATAAAATACCTACTCCGATCACGTGGTCCGTTTTCAGCACGGTTATCGGTCGGTCTGCGATAGAGCAAAACCACCGTCGGACCCCGCGATAATTAATAAAACACCCATCACCGTCATACTATCGTACGGCAGCAGTTCGCGCGGGAATACGACGTCGCAATGGTCCGCCTTATGATGCACCCCGAACCGTCCAACTATTCGTACGTGTTCGACTTCGAGGAGAACTTCCACTACGAATGGACGCGGCAGTGGATGACCGAAAACTGGACAAACGGGTTCTATTATTGCACCATATACGCCATGCTGGTGTTCGGGCTCCGGCGGATGATGCGCGACCGGGCCGGTTTCCGGCTCAAGGGGCTGCTGGTGCTGTGGAACACCATGCTGGCCACGTTCAGCCTGGTCGGGTTCGCCCGGACGGCGCCCGAGCTGTTCCGCGTGCTCAACAAATACGGCCTGCACCACTCGGTGTGCGTCACCAGGTAAGCATCGATCGGTCCACGTGCTTGGGCGTGTTGTTTTTATTTTCCTATTAATCACCGCATCGTTATCTTATTGTTGGTTAACCATTTTAACACCGGCGTGTAACGTCTTTGCTGCTCGGGCGACGAACACGATGTCCGCCGGTCTCGTGTTTTTCTGTCGCCCAAAGGTCGTTGCCCGTTTCCCGGCGCCCAATTGCCCCTTCGCTCACCTCCCTGCGCCTCGTCCGTCGTAGATAATACGACGCGCGCGCGTCGCCTGCGATGTCTCATTTTTCACTTCATTGATAACGCGCTGCCGGTCGTCTCGTTGCCTAACGTTGCCTAATTAGTAATTTCATATATTTTATTTCACTCGAATACCCGAGTCCGTGCCTACAAATTGGTTACAAATGACTCGAACGTGCTTTCTCGCTATCGGCTCGTACGAGTGAAGAGCACAGTGTTTCGCGGTGTTTCGTGAATTTTGGCTTCACACGATTATTGACCTTTGGGTTTATCGAGCTCGAGCTCCTGTGTCACGCCATGGGAATAGTTATAAAAACGTGGTTGACATTTTTACACCGACACGACGTGACGTAAATGTGTGACGATATCTACGTGTAGAATAGACTTTTTACCAATCATTCCCATTTTGTACGTTTTTAAAGATGTGCAATTGCTTTTTCATTAATTGTTTTGATTATGATAATAGTTCGATACTCATTAAGCCTCCTCAAAAATATGGTAATTGGGTATATTATGTTATTAATGTGTAAGGGTTAGGAGGTATCTGCCTATTAATAACGGTTGTTGAGGATAGTAAATATTATATTTTCCCGTGCGCACTATGCACGTCCCTTTTGTGTACGTGAAAATGTACTCTACACGTCCGTCTCTTATGTGTTTACTATTCTATTTGTTCATAGTTTTTAAACTCGATCAATTCAATGGTTGATCAGTTATTCTATGTAATTTTTAAAACTTATTTTTTTTTTGAGACCTTACTTATCCAAAGCTTACAGTAAGATTTAGTGTAATTGGTTAATTAACATAATTTATTTCAACTATATTTTTACTGTAGGTGCAAATAATAAATTTTTTTAATTAAATAAAATATGTTATTTTAATGTAATGCGTTAACCTAAGCACGTGCTGATTTGTATTTTATGTTAAAGAAAATATATTTTTTATGCTCTTCATATTAAATACTCATTTGTATAGTGGCTTGTATTTATCATAACATTTAATATATTTAATGTAAACCACTAAATAATAAACATTCAATTTATGTAATATGCTCTAATTATGAGTAGGTATATTTTATATTATTACCAGTTCTGAATATTTTTTTGATATACATTATTTAAATTAACCTAATTAATTATATTATTTTATCATTATAAAACAAATAACTTACTTAGAAGTCAAGTATATTTTTTTGTTATAAATGTGTTTCTGATTTTCTTTAATTTATAAAGATTAAGTAATTATGTTTCCAAAAAAATGTCATTTTAATTTTAATTTAATTTAAGGATAAATGATATAAACTAATTTCATATTGATTTTGTAGGTACTTACTTTTATGCTTACATTATCTCATAGCAAATTGTTTACATTCAAACTTGAATTGAGTATTAAAAATATTTCTTCTATGTTCATATCCTTGGAATAATAGTAATTTACTGTTTAAACTGTTAGTAATTAGGTGATTCGACCATTTTTTTAAAATTATAAAACTCACATTAAATGTCTATTATATTATTATAAATTTTTAAATTAATACCATTTAATATATTGAAAAAAAGGTTGTTAATAATGTTTAAAATAATAACCAAGCAATTTTCTTATTCATCAATTCAATATTTATGCTACATTAAAAAACTTTAAATCTTGTTATAGGTTATGTGGGTTTTTAATCTCTTATTTCATTTTATGGTGGGTATCTAAATAAGAAAAAACCTAATTAAAAAAAAATTGACGTCATCAACCATTCTTTTTGATAAAATAATTAGATAATTACTATTTAATGTAGGTATAATCTATGTGCAATTATATTATATTTGATGCCAAATAAATTAAGAGTTGAAGTGCATTCTGTTAGTTCTAATAAATTATTTGTAGATATTACTATACCAATTAGTAATATACCTGTGTTTTTATTGATCCCAGCTAATCAAGTTGATCTTTTATATTTAATCTTAGGCTATATGCTGGCCAATAACAAGAATAAAACATGATTTTAATTTACCCGTGTTTGTAAATTAAATTAAGTGTAGTATCAAAATATTATTTATTATGTGATAAATTAAAGTTTGGTTGTCAGGATATCTAAATTATATACATTTATTAGTATATGTAAAACATTAGGTAGTTGGTACCACAATGAAAATTAATTGGATCATATAGGTAATACATCATACAATTAAACAAATTATTTTAATCTATCTGAATTTCTATTTAATGCTATATTTTGGCCTCTTATAGAATTGTAAGTTATAATTAGCCCTTATCTATCTGATTTTTCTTAATTGATTTTTTTATTTGTAAAATGATTAATAAATATTATAAATTATTGTAATGTATATATTTTTTACTTATCTGTGTCTAAATCAATATATTAAGTATTTCAATGAGATATAAATAATTCTATAAAATTCCTTTTTGCGGAATATTTTGATTTTTGTACATTTTTCTTATAGCTATGGTATAATTTAATTTTTTTTTATGAAATAAATTTATTTATGTTTTGACCATTCAAAAATAAGAAAAAATATAAATAAAACCATTTTACGAAGAATATACATTACTAAAAAGTGATCTTACTAGTAATAACTTTTAGTATGAGTAATTTCTGTATTAAAATAGAATTTATTTTCTAATATATATTTTTGTTTTTTTATGTTTTATTTATATCATTATGAATGAGTTTTGAATGTAATCATGATTTTATGAATGTATCGTAATGACAAAATAATATCGATTAGATGATGTCATTGTTTAGATGTAATAATATAATTAGTAATTTTAACTTAAGCTGTGAATATAGATAATTTTTATTTTCCTTAGCCAAGCTACAAAGAATAATTTCAGTCTTATATATTATATTTGCATGATTTTATGATACAATTTTTATTTCTTTTCTGATTGGCTTTAAGTATTTATTTATAACAAGTATACAATGATATATACTTTGAAATATAGGGCAACTGTTTAAATAACATTTTTCATACCTTGCTAAAATAGTCTACCACAGGCATGATTCTATAAATACATAAATTAATGACATGCTTTAATGTAAGATGAGCATCACTATTCATGTATTTTAAATGTAATTAAATTAATATTTAAATGTATTTTTACTTGAATAATGAATACTAACTACTGAATTAAAATTACCAAAAACTAATAAAATTATTATTTTATTTAAAAATGTTACAGTACAAATTAATGGTTTTATTTTAATTCTAAATGTCAACAAAATTGTAGTATTTAAAACACTTTTGATTTACAAGTTATACATTTTTTTTTTTTAAATTCATAAATTAACATAAATGTATATAATCTATATTTAATTTAATAATAATAAAAAAAAAAAAATGTATTGCATCAAAAATATATCTTATAGGTTACATAATCAGTGATACATTTTAATATTTAATTCTTCGGTTGTAATGTTTTATCAGTCATCAATATTAAATTATTTACTATACTTTATTTTATTTTGCTATTCAAGTTGAAAGAATTATTGGGCTTTTTACAGAATTACTTATAACCCAGGAATAATAATGCTAACGCGACCTTGTGTAGTTGTGTGATAGTTTGAACATTTTTAAAAGGTTTATAAAGTTTATATAACTATACTTGGGTGGGAAAAAAAAACTTTGAAAAAAGTTTATTTGTTTTTTATACAAGGAAATATGGGCTTCTTAAATAATAAATCCTATTTAAGATTTTAATTTATAAAATTTTATACCAGTAGTACAGTCTTGGTATTTTTTCGTATTGATGATTTGTTAGTCGATTTTTTTTCACTATTAATAACCATATCATGTGCTTATTTGAAAATCATTATTGTGATGTAACATTTATTGGATTTCAGAATAATTTTATATATTGTTGTATATAATGAAATATTATTCATTTATTTTATCTTAATAAAATTTTTATGTTATTTACGAAATGTGTTCAATATCATAAGTTATTAAATATACCTACCTTTATTATAGTTATTAATCATAAGTACCAGTGTACCACATGATTAGTTATTGGGTTAAATTTTAGAAACTTAATCATATGGTTTTTAATTAATTTTGAATGTAGATTTTTGTTGTTTGATAATTAGTAGGTAATTACTTAATGTAATAAAAGGAATCATTCAGTAAATAGTTCAAGTGCAAAAACTATTATTTAATTGTGTTTCTATGACTTATTTTTAGCTAATTATAATTAATTAATCCGAAGAAAACATTTTGATAATTTAATTGATATTTAATATCTTTTACGATTGAATTATTTTTAGGTATGTTATACTTTTTAACTATGTAAGTACCTACCTATCTATTCATAGATAATAATTTTATTGTAATAGGTAACTGTTGTAATTGGTTCAAAATAATTTTTTTTAGAAAACAGTTATTACTAGTTAAAAAGATATTATTGATTAGGCGTCATTATTAGTTTTATATAATTTTCTTACAAATTTAAATATCAAGGTAATTATTTAGTTTTATAAGAATATTTTTTATTCGTATTTTTTTATAATAGTTTACGAATTGCACTTCTCATTTTTAAATATTAGAGAATATTATGTTATTTATTTAGATAGTTAAAAGCTTTAATAGAAAATTTGACTTGTATTATGATACTTTCGGTAAATTCGAATCATACATAATAATTGGCGCATATGAGTATATATGTTGTCTTTAATATTATGACTCCTGTTTCTATGAATTGTTGACAAACAAAATGTGTGTATTTATGTCTCGATTTATGCTTAGTATTGAATTTTATTTTTTGAAAAGTTTATATGTGTAAAAATGCGGAAGAATTTCTTTTGCAATAATTATAATTTGTTTGATGCACTTATGTTTGTATGTTTCTGTATCTATGTATATAATATACTATATAATAAGCTTAGTACGGGAAAATATAATAAATGTATCTTTTATTTATTTATTGTAATATATGTAGGTAATTAAATTTCTCAGTCAAGTTATTTGAAGTGTTGGCATTATTTTAATATACAATTTAACTGTTGTTCAATATAATGTTTTGTATTATTGAATGGTTTCATAAGAATATTGAAATTCTTATCTTGGAGCTTAATAAACTCATAAATTGAATTTCTATAAATGACTCATTCATTTTTATATTGTTTTTATGAAACTGTTGAACGGAATCGAATAATTTTTTAAGATCATTTTATTTTTCTATTTTTACGTATATATCATAATATTTAAAAGTATTTTTTATTAATAATTATTTTGTAAACAAAAACAGAGCAAATAGTACATTTAGCTGTAAGCAAACTATAGTGAAAAGAATGGTCAAATGTCTATTTAAATTATACATGAACTTGCACAATTAATCGAAAAAAAAATCATTAAACATTGTGAATCACAGATGACGTCGCGTTTAGAAAATTCCAAAGAATAAATATTGAAGTGCAGCAATGATCGTTACATTTCAAATAATTTTAAAATGTTTTTTTATCCTATGACTTATAGTAACTAAATACGAGAATTAAATAATTACAACGTTGTAAGAAACAATTTTATTTGTATATATTTCACCGGTGAATTATTCTGAAAATCTTGATCTTCGTTTATTGATGAGTGCTAAGTAGATAAGTACAAATCAGAAATCTAATTTTAAATTTTAATATTGTTATGGCACGTTATTATTTGTGACATATAATCTGTGTCGTTAGGTAATTACCAAGTTTTTTTTAAATTTTTATCTTCGTGGTATGTTTAATATTATCTATTTAGTATAGGTGTTCCATATAACATAGTAGATCAGAGTAGATATGCTGTTAAAAATAATACCTACCTAATTATAGTATCATTAACTTTGTAAAAGACAATTATACTTACATTGAGGCCAATTATTGTTAAATATTTCGCAGTCCGCATGTCTTAAAATAGTTTTAATATTGATAAGGAGCGTTTGGAAAATTAAGGGTAAAGGGAAATTTTCTAGTAAACCATTTCCAATTAGTAGTCATTCTATCAGTTAGTCCAAACGGTCAAAACATGGCATATCATAACACCACGTAATGCTATAAATTATTATAATAATTAGTGTACGTGCTTAATAATAACCGTTGGAGCCTGCATTCTGTGTTAAACTAAGGTTTTCTCTTTTAGCATATCGAACTCTTTCACGTATATTTATAACAATACGACCTTTGAGCCACATTATACAGGTTTTTTTTCATTTTTTAAGTCGAGTAGACAGTAGCACAAAAATATTAGTATGGTCAATACAAAGCATACTTCTTATAACCACTGATTATAGAATAGTCCATTCTATGATTAATGTTATAACTAATAGTACTCTGATGATTTATTTTGTACTATTTATACAATAGAATCGTACAATTTTGGTCATTCAAACTGACAAAAATTTAAAATGTCATAACCACTTACTAACCTTATCACACTAATACGAAATATCAAAGTCATGATTTAATTAATGTTATTAGTCTAACACAACAACGTCTTTTTTACTGGGTGTTAGTACTTAGTGCTTTTCTTATCGTGTGAAAAAATATATTGATTTAATTTAAATTCATATTATAAGATTCAAACAGTGTTTGAACATGTTTTTTACGGTGTGAAAATATATTAAATATAATAATATATTCACATTGGTTCTTCATTCAATCTTAATTATTTATACCTGATCATAGTTATTTTAACTATATAATTAGGTATTAAAGTTATTAAAGTTGTGATATCATTTGAACTATTTTCGATCATTTATTTATTTCTAGTTTTTTATACAATTTGAAATATTCAGATAACTTATCATGTAAATTATAATTAATTTAATTTTACAAAAAATTAGTAAACAATTTTTCTTTAAAGTCATTCAAGTGTTAACTATTAATGGTGCCTTGAACTATTACATGTGAAGATTTTATTATTATTAATGATTTTATTAAATTTCGAGTTTTTTTCAAAACTAAGTAACTTAAGTCAACTCTTACTTGTTTTTACTTTTAAATTTAAATGTGCTAAACCAGTTTGTAAACAGACTATTTTCTTCCTACATACTTCGCAACCACATTTTCAACGATGCTTGGCGGGAGTTCGTCCGAAGGTGGTGGAAAGTTTCTGTACGTACAATATAAGTCTAGAGTTTCTGTTTCGTTTATAGCTATATCATTGACGACCAGGTGTCTGGGTTTTGGTCATGGCTGTTCGTGCTGTCCAAGCTTCCCGAACTGTGCGACACCATATTCGTGGTATTGCGCAAGAAGCCGCTCATCTTCTTGCACTGGTACCATCATATCACCGTACTGATGTACTCGTGGTTTTCATATATGGAGTTCACGTCGTCCGCTCGATGGTTCATCGTCATGAACTACTTCGTACACTCCATGATGTATTCGTACTACGCGATCAGCGCCATGGGTTACCGGTTCCCCAAATCCGTGTCTATGTTCATCACGGCCAGTCAGCTAATACAGATGTTGGCCGGTTGCTTTATCAACTACACCACGTACAGTTATCTGAAGTCAGGTGGCCAACAATCGTGTCGGGTGTCCCAAACCAATGTTACTGTGTCGGCTTTGATGTACTTCAGTTATCTATTGCTGTTCGCTAGATTTTTCTACAACGCATACTTCAGCAAGTCTAAAAAATTGTCCAAACAACACTGACCGCAGATGACATGTGTTTTTATTACTTTTTAGTTTTTATACCTAATTCAACAGTGTTCTTAAAAATATTATTTATATGATTTACGAGATAAATTTGTTCTACCCCTTAAACAACAAATGAAACATCTTTGTTTAACAATAGATAAACGTTCAATCCAGATTTTATACATAACACTTAAGTATAAAATAGACAATTCTAGACTCCACCTCCAACGATCATCTTGTTTGAAATTCTAACTAACTATGTATGAAATATAATTATACGATCTGTGCGTACATACACTACATACAGTATTCAGTTGTGGGGTTCTGTAAAACACTAAAGCGTAGTATTGGGTGTTTCAATTTATTTGCTTGTGATGTATAAATATCCTCCTTAGTATTTTATCAATAGAAATCTTCATAAAGACCTAAAATGCTTACCCTTAATCAATTAGTCAAATTATATTTTAATTTTCATACCAATTAAAATGTTCATACTAATCCACTGAACAAACAATTATCCACCATTTAAATTTTTCCAGTTTAGGAATAACGTAGAGACCTATTTAAATTAAAAATAAAGAAAAACAATAATATATTTTGCTTTGTGACAGAAGGTCGTTTTCTTTGCTTTTCGATTTAGTAATATTATACATAACTCAAGTATAATTAAATATAATTATCATTTTTTTGGGGCGATGGATTGTATAATCCTTTTTTATTGTTTGTTTAGGACATTTTATTACTTTTCTTAGACTATTTTTGTTTTTATTTATACGTTTTAACAAATAAATTACTTTGTACATATACTAATTAGTAATTACTAATTAAATCTACTCTTAAATTCCACGAAAAAAATAAGATTGTCAAACAAACGGCGTTGTTTAACTATTAAGTGTACAAGCTATACGTCTTAGTATTTATGAAATAATTGTATTAGCCATAATGTATTTTTAATTTATTGTAATAGTCTTAAAATTGTAATAAATTGTTCGTTATTTTTTGTATTTATTTGTGATTATTTTTACAATTTTTTACAGCAATAAATCGTAATTTTCCTATAAAATCCATTTTGAAAAAAAATATTGTTTGTCAATGTTATTAATTTTGATAAACTAGTAAGGAATTATAACTATTCTATTATTTCTATATATTTCTACTTTTTAGTTTTTAACAAATCAATTTGAACAATGAATATAAAATGCTATAATATGTGAAACCGTACATTAATAAGTCTTGATTAATCTCGCTTTTTACTAATGCATTATTTTAATAATAGGTAGGTTAAGTATATTAATATATGTATTATATTTTTATATATAATATAATATATTGTCATAACTCATAAGTATAAATATTAAATAAACTGACGTGCGAGTTTGCTAATTTTAAATAGTAATTTTGTAATTACTACTGCTGTTGCATGTTTCATTTTACTATATTACTTTAAAACAATTTATTATTTTTTGATGTTATTTATTTTAGTTATATTATAAGTATCTTAGTGAGCTAAATGTACCATTTGTAGGATCTTATTTCGATAAGCGATAAATCATAATCGATGATTATGTAAATATTCACACATCACACTTCAGATACGACTTGGTACGTGTTTCGCAGATGTTAAGATTACATTCTTTTTAGTTTTTATTATATAATGGATTTATAGATACAAAATCCAAAAAATCGAGTTTGTCTTGTTTGTGTGGTTAAGACATTTTTTTTGAATCAATTTACTAATATTTTGTTAAGAAAAAAAATACCGACATTCCGTCTATCGTTACGATTAATTACATACAAAATGTCCTGGTTTTTATATTAAATTAACTTTATTAAATGATTGCGAGGACGCTGGTATTGAACTCTTACTCGTTTTTAAGATTAAGTATAGAAACATTCCTGTAATCTAAACGGGTATGCATATTTGTTGTAAAATATAAACTTGTTCCATTTGCTGTTCGCGGAAATTACATCTGTGACCTTGAGACGACGTCCCCGGAAGTTTGCTTAAGATTTAAAAAACGAACGGGCAACATCGAAAAAAGTATTGTGATTATCATTTGGTTTTAAACGAACGCAAACACGCCAAATGTACCTTACTTGACTTACTCACAAGTTAAATGGCGTAGGTTAGGTTAGGTTATTTTATATTAATTGTATAATATTATTTCTAACACCTATATTGATAATTCAGTCAGTCATATAAATATGATACTTATAATATTTTGGTTTCCTTAATAGTGATATGTTTTTTCTTTACTAATAGTTAGGTGTGCAGAACGAGGAATTGACTGTAATATGTTTACATATTAACACATTGTTGTTCTTTCTTTCTTTTATTCTTGATAAACACAAACAAACACTTACAAAATATTATAATTTATCTGTTTAAACGTTAAGGATGTTATGTTCCGTAATCACTGTGGCGATACACCAAGCAAGTACGTCTATATAAAATATAATGTATTAAAATATGTATATACTATAATATTAATGGAAGGTTGCGGGTGAATACATCGATATTGGGTAGTGAGTAATATTTATATTTATCCTTAACCACGCAATTGTGATTAAATAATACTTATTAGTTATTACCGTTGAAAAACCTCAACGTCGTAAAGTATAGTGACGAGTATTGTATCTATGATACGCAACGGAAAATTTTTTTTTAAAAAGTAACGTATGAGAATTGTGAGTTGAAAAAATTGCGTATACCATGTTAGTATAATAATTATACAGTAGAACGATCGTACCTATGTATATAATTTGTAATTTTTCATGTCCATTGCGAATATAATAACGTGCTGTTTAATGATAGCGCCGCTGTATCGGCTATTTCGACGTTCGACGCATTTCCGGTGTTAAAGAATTGGTTTCTAAAATTGCGGTTTAGTTTTTCTTTTCTCTTTCGTCTAGCGGAAGAACACATAGTTAGAAGTCTGTCATTTTTTCAGAATTTGACGATTTATTTTTGGTAACATTTAAATTTGAGTTGATTTCAGATTTTAGATTTGAATTTTATTTTGCTAATTTATCACATCACAACCATTATTGTAAACTGGTATTCGTTATGCGCCATTTATATTTTTACAACCGTTGATTACTTTTGCCTACAATTATACTATTGATCTGTCTACTCTTGTAAAGTATTTTTGTATTTATTTATTCAGTTAAAAATACTGATAATTGCTTTTTTTTTTACAGATTTTTCAATTATTAGTTTATTTGTATAATTATTGCTACCTAACATTATTGTTTATTCTACTATTGAAAATACAATGTTTGTGCATTTATTATTTGATATGTTGATGTATTAGCTATAAACATTGGTACCAACTATTCAAAAGGTGACTTTTTAGATATGGTCGATCCTCTATTTAACGAAACTCTCTGTACAACGAAATACTTGATGCTGCAATCATACAATTTTCATTCCAAATTGTTTATATTTAACGAGTTTATTTTGTGTTATTTTTTCACGACAAATAACTATAAACAAAATACTAGTTATAAAAACTATTGTATTATTACATATTATATTATTATATTTTTATACCTCGTCTATTTGACTTGTTAAAATAAGAGTGAGCATTTTTATAGTGTATTAATAGTGCAAAAGTTCTTCGACAACAAAAAAATAAAAAACGTTTATAATTTACTTATTTTTTAGTATAGTTTAAATATATTATTTTTTTTATTTATTTAATTATATTATGTGCATATATTTCGTACATTAAAGATTAGTTTTGTTTATGAAAAAGATATTTATTTTTATGAAATTTATATTAACGAATTTTTTTTTTTTTAAAGAACATCCAAATTTGTTAAATAGAAGTTCCAAACCAATTCAGAAGCGTATTTGAAGGATACGGAAACCATTTAATAGTTTTCAGCGCTAAGATGCGCACTATTTGTACTTCTTACATTTGACGTTCGGATTGAAGTATATTCAAATTAACTTTAGCTACTTAAACCATTTTAAAAAGGTTAGGCAACGCATTTTTAGAATGTATTATCTTAAATATATTTAAAGTTAATACCAAACAAATTTTATAAAAGAGCATTGTGTAGCGTAACGTAATGTTTACCACAGTTATTTTGATGGATGTATTATATAAGATAATACGTGTTCCATAAACTTGTCGTATCGTACTCTACCGTAACAAAAAAAAAATCACACAGCTAATTAATTTACCATAGTTGTTGAAGGTTAATAATAGTAAAAAAAAAAAATTATAAGACTAACAATTATTTATATGTAGGTTATATTGTATATATTGTTCTTTTAAATAATTTAACTTGACCTAACCTAACTTGTTTACAATTTTTTTCAAGTTAAACTACCTTAATTATAATGGCATAAATTATCCGTACTAAAAAATTCCGAGGCATTCATCTAAAAACCTGTTTGGTTTTCCAAATTTTGAGGGGACAAAAATAGTGAATACTTACTATTGTTGTATTCACCACATGTATGATCCACAAAAATGTATTAAACTCGGTATATTATTCGCATAATCGATTACGTAATTTACTCCATACGGTGCTTATTACTCGTTTGACCGATTTTCGGCTTTTGAACGATAGCCTTCAAAAAATGAAATCTTGCATATAAAAATTTTGAACACAAAAAAATATTCACTGTCTAAACTTTTTAATTTTTGTATTGTTAAAATTTGGTAAAATTTGACTTTGAAATGGCTTAAAAAGCCAATGTACAAATACAAATAATGTTCTTAAATTTAAGTTTGTTAATAAGTCAATGAACTTTATTATAATATTATAGGCTATAACTAACAACACAAGGTTTTTAATGCTAAACCAAAATATTTTGTCACACTTTTAACTCAATTAAAAAAAAATAATGTTTTCGCTGTTCTTGGCGTCTAGATACACCAAAACGTCACCCAAAACATCGCGGTAAAACAAATTTAATCATCAATTATGACGTTAACATAATTATTGTTAAGATAATGTCATCGTTGAGTGTTTTAAAGGGGCCTTGTCGGATTTTCTCTTCACCAATCGTGTTCTACGCTAACTGGCGAAACACAATTTGATACCTTTGACATCTATCTATTATAATATAGTACCTAACATAATTTTAGATATTTTTGAGGAAAGAAAATGTTGCTTGGCCTACTCCAATTTGCATGAACTAATCGTCATTCTCTAATCGTTTCTTTTTTTTTTTTTTCTGTTCCTTCCCACTCGCAGCTACGTCGAGGACGACCCGGTGTCTGGGTTCTGGTCATGGCTGTTCGTGCTGTCCAAGCTTCCTGAACTCGGCGACACGATATTCATCGTGCTCCGCAAGCAGCCGCTCATCTTCCTGCACTGGTACCATCACATCACCGTGCTGCTGTACACGTGGTTCTCGTACATGGAGTTCACGTCGTCCGCCCGGTGGTTCATCGTCATGAACTACTCCGTGCACTCGATGATGTACACGTATTACGCGGCACGGGCCATGGGCTACCGGCCGCCCAAGCAAGTGTCCATGTTCATCACGGCCAGTCAGCTGACGCAGATGCTGGTCGGTTGCTTCATCAACTACACCACGTACGGTTATCTGAAAACCGGCGGCCCTCACTCGTGCCGGGTGTCCAAGCTCAACATCACCCTGTCGTCGACCATGTACTTTAGTTACCTACTGCTGTTCGCCCGGTTCTTCTACAACGCGTACCTCAACAAGGGCGCCCGGGTCAGTTCGTCCAA